TCCCTCTCCGCCTGCTTGTGTTCCCTCTCTCGCTGTCTCTCTGTCAAATAAATAAATAAAGTCTTTAAAAAAAAAAAAAAAAAAAGATCCTTTACCACAGGTCTTGTCCGAGACTTTAATGGACCAACAGACTGTGAATCTTCAAGACAAAAATATGGTATTTCCCCAACTTATTTAGTCATGTAAATTATATCTAAAAATTTGCATTTGACTGGGTTGATGTACTGTGTTGTGAAACACACATGGGAGATGTGCTACTCTATTATTTTCTGAAAATGCAGATTACAGGGATAACTTTGCCCATGATGCCCAAAGTCCTGTGCTGTTAAAAAGATGAACTCATTGAATTCCCAAATGTGTGAATCTGAAGGAGGCTCATGTCACTATAACTTGATCTCAGAGACCTGCAGGTACACCAAGGGCCAAGGGTGCACACTGGGCAAATGATGTCTCCATACAGAAGTAACTGTCCAAGTTACTAAGCATCCAATGAATATGTGAGCACCTTATATTAGTTTGATATGAGCTTGATATTTAGTTTCTGGTGATGTATAAACTTTAACCCTAACCATATGCAAGACCATCCAGCCATCTATGATATATACAAAGCAAGAACGAAAATAAAATTATCAGGGGAAGTGGTCATTTCTGTGGCTGATGCTGAAATTGTAAAACAAAACCAAAACCAAAATAAGAGAAAATCCAGACAAAAATCCCACCCATGAACAGAAAATTTAGAAGATACCTTTTTGCTTAAAACATTTATGCTCCAGATGTACTAAAATTAGACACAAAAATGACTTCTGAAATGTGAAATTACAAATAAGAAAGGCCTCTTGGATGAGATTGAATTGGAGCTAGGGCTTTGTGAAGGTGGAGGTGAGAATCATCATTGGTTGTGAGGACAGTATCATCTCCCCGCATGAGTCAGAATGGTTGTTTCTCTGATGCCGTGCAGAGCAAATATTTCCTAGGGTTGAAAAGTATAGAAATCTTTCTAATTCTGACCTTAGGTTTCCAACACTGATTGCTCATTTTCACCAACCTAACATCTAGTTTATACCATAGCACCAAGGTCTGACTACGAAAGGAGAGTGACTCCTCAACATAATCAAGCATACTATGACTCCTGATTCAATGTTACCTTTGTGAATGACCTATTGTGGTTGAAATGCACAAATGATCCTGACCCCTCGCCCTGGTAAGGAAGCCCGATGAGGGCAGGATTGTCATCTGCTGTGCTCACTTCTATGTCTCCACGTAGAGTTGTGCCTGGCGCAGGGAAAGAGCTCAAGAACTGTTATATAAATGGATGTATTCACTGAATCCTATCATTCTTGTCTTTGCTCTATAAAATTAAGATAAGCCGGGCAGTGGGTATTTTCATTTCATCTGACCTGCTTTTGTAATCCTACTTGTTTGGCAGCCCGAGATAACGTGTATGTGGGCTGAATTAAAAAAAGGAGAAAGGGAAACCATCTCAAACCACTGAGGCCCCAAGGAAATAGTACTGACGGTTTCACAAAGGGTCTAGGTGAGAGGGACTGGGTTTTGTTCATGGAACTCTCCAAAGCAGCACCACAAAGGCACTTTTAAGGCTCAAAACATAATTTTAAGCCAAAGACTAGGAAGAGCAATTACGCCAGCGGGTGGGTAACAGGGAATCTGGGAAATCCTTGACGAGGGCAGAGACTGAGGGCTCTAAAGTGAACTCCTGAGTGTAGGTTCAAGCACTGGGTAGGTCAGCAAATTAAGAGGGGCTAAGAAGGACCGGGAGGCTTCTTTGAGCCAATGTTGAGAACGGACAGTAAGCAGGTGTTTGGAGGACCCCGAGGGGACATGAGCTTCCTCACATTCATTTCCAGGTCCCCATCGCCTACCTCCAGAGCCATGGCTCTGGCAACGTCAGGAGAAAGTCAAAAGAGTGAGTCCTTGAGCCAGTGACCCCAGCATCCTCACGGTGCTCACAGTTGTGGATATGCAAGCCCGGGTGCCTAGCATGGCCTCATTGCCCCGGGACTGCACATCGTCCAGGAGGATGCTCCCCACACCCTCCCCAAAGCGGCCATTCCCCAGGGCTCCAATGCCCTCCCTGCAGTCCAGCTGCCGGCACATGACGTGGGCCACACTGGTGGCCCAGAGGTCATCCCACATGGTCCCCCACCTGCCGTTGTGGTATACCTTCAGCCAACTTGATGACGGGCAAGTCTGGGGAAGACTCGGGGTTGCTACCAGAACAGAATTGGCTCTTGTGGCAAGTAATTCCTAATAGGACTTTTCTGCAGTTTTTACCATAGCCAACCCTGAAGTCCAGTACTCTACCATCTCTCCCTTCCTCTTTCCAAGCCCCATAGGGAAAAGTTAAATTAGTGCTTACAAAAGTAGCAACTGGTTTTTCCAGGCTAGCTCTGATTTCAGATACTTCATTCCTTCATTCCTTATCTTTGCATTTGAAATAGGATAATTGCAAAGGTAAAGATAGATACTGATTTTAGAACTGGGTCATTAAATTGCTAAGCAACGGCATGGAAATGGGTCAAATTCAACCTTTCATTATTTTCTTTAGGCCAAACTCATACACTGGCCCAGATTCGCAGTTGGATAAATTTTAGAAGCGGAGACTAGACCAGGAGCCAGTCCCGCTTGCAACCTCTCCCTCTGTGTCCGGCCCAAATAACCCGCAGGCACTGACATTCCTGGCTGTAGCCTCAGGGAATCCACTAGAAAGAGTCAATAGCTAGCAAGCCCTGAAAGAAGCAGTAAAAGGGCTACCGACTGCAGGATCTGTTTCTGTTGGTTCTGGGACAGCTTCCGTAGCTGAAAGAGATAACCCAAGGCCCTCACGTTAGCGCAGGTGCACGTTTGCAACACACTCGCGGGCACACCAGCTGAGTGGTGTGTGAACCCACATCTGTGCCAGCGTGCGGGTTCAGGATGGCCTGGCAGAGGCAACTGTATTTCTAAGACCAACCTTCCCCCAGCTGGTGAGACCCCGGCTTATGGACACTAATCGGAAACATCTATCTGAGCTTTTCCAGGGAGGAGCCATCGATAGCCACTCAGACCTGAAGCTACAAAATAGGGCAGATGAGCATCTGATGCCGTTTTGATCCAGAGTCTCATTGAGAGACACCATGACTTGTTTGTAGCACCAAAGGCTCACTCTATGCATTAAAAAAACTACCCAACGGGGCACCTGGGTGGCTCAGTCGGTTGGGCGTTTGCCTTCGGCTCAGGTCCTGATCCCAGGGTCCTGGGATCGAGTCCCGCATTGGGCCCCCTGCTCAGCGGGGAGTCTGCTTCTCCCTCTTCCCCTCCCCCCTGCTTGTGTGCACTCTCTCTCTCTCACTCTCACTCTCTCTCTCAAATAAAAAACAAAAAACAAACAAAAAAACTACCCAACAACAGGGTGGGATAGAGCTATCCTCCCCGCGTCTGCATCTTTACCCATCTGGGGACCTTGTCTCCTGGCACCCTCTGTGGAGGGGGTGGCTCTGGGCCGTGGGGTGGGGGGTCACAGATGTTTGTTGCATACACCAGTTACTAGCAAAAGGTAACCAAGCAGGGTTTTTAAATGTTCATTCAGCTTTTTTGAACGGTTGCATAAAACTGTCCCTAATGGGAAGAAAATCCCCACTTGGGCAATCAGCGAATCAGGAGAGCATTCATATGTAGCTCTCTCTGAGAAATACCTTCATGAGAAATTTGTGGGATTGACACACATCGGAAAATCATTCCTGGAAATTAGAAACCGTCCGGAGCAGGGGCGCAACTTCCTGTTCTCCGGGCACGTTTTTGCTCTTCGTTTCTCTGCTCTTCTTAGGAGCAGGGGAAGAGGCTGTGATGCCGGGCACACCTGAGGCCGGCGTGACCAGTGTCCTGGGTTAGCTGAATCTGAGCGGGTTCCCGGGACAGGGGACTTCCAGCGCTACAACTGGGAAAATTCCAGGCCAACGGGACCGGCTGTTTTCAGGACCTGGAAGCCCAAGCCTTTCAGGGTTGGCCCGCCCGGCAGGTCCGGCTCTGCTGCTTGCGGAGGGAACCCGGGCTCGGGGAGAGTTCAGGTACCTGAGCACATGGCCCCGGCATCCTCATGGTGTCCGCAGTTATGGACCGACAGGCCGAGGTGTGGCATTGCCCCAGGCTGCTCTCGTTGCCCGTGCAGCCCGCTCGTCCAGGAAGATGGGGCCCGAGCCGCCACCAAACAGACTGCCCCTCAGGGCCGCCAGGGCCGGCCCGCAGCTCAGCTGCCAGCACACCACCTGCACGGCGGGCAGGCCCCAGAGGTGGTCACACACCGCCCCCCAGGTGCCGTCGTAGAGGATCTCCACGCGGCCCTCGCACCTGCTCCTCCCGGCCGCCAGCCGCACCACGGGCAGATGTGCAGGAGCCAAGGGCAGAGAGGCTTGAGAAGGTTCCCGCCACTCTCCAGCATTTCCAGCTAGAGAAGTCTACCCCAGCCTGCAGCCCGCTGTCCGCGGTCCGGGCAGCCTGTGTCCACCGGCAAGCGATAGCTGCAGAGGAGACCATAGGACTGCTTCTGGTTTCTGAAATTTAGCACAAACTCTACAGCGTTTTACCCTCACGGGGGCCGTTTCTTTATGGGAATCCGGGCCTCGTGGTGACTTGGCAGAAGACACACTTGAAAACAACTTTCTGCTTTCTTCCTGCCTGGGGTGTCATTTTGTCTTTCTCCAAAAATTCAAAGCCATTCAGCAGAATGCTTGAAGTTCAGACTTTACATTTCTTACGCAGGCCTCTCGAAGAATGTTATGGAGTTCTCAGAACAAAATTAATTTCACCTTACTTGAATTTAAAAAGGACGAAGTATTTATTGGAGGATGAGGGAGAAGGTTGGGGCTGGGAAAGAGAGCAGAGGAAGAGGGGGTGTCGCTCCTTTAAGAAGGTAAGGTGCCGACTGAGTGAAATTCGCCCTTGAACCAAAAGCAGATGAGGTTGGTTCTCAGATTCTGAGCCCCAGGGATTGGGCTGGCTCATGGGGTCCCCTTAGAGAAGGGCCTCCAGGAGCACTGTGTGGGCCAGGGCCTTCCTACGGGCCTTTCAGTGATGCCACTGAGGATGGGTGGGTGGCTGGCTCTCCCTGAAAAGGTCCCCGTGCGGGGACCACCCACCATCTCACCAGCTTGCCTCTGATGAGCACAGCTTTTATTCCCTACAGCACCAGGGCCAGGAAAATTATGTTGGCTACATTTCTGTCGGCCACAAATGCCAGCCTAGGAAAAGAAGTTATAAAATGTAAGAATGGAAAAGATACCTATTGGATGGAAAACAGGTGGCTGTTCCCCAGGAGCTGAAGAAACTGTACATGTGAAAAAGAAAACAGTCACCATAAGGACATTCCAAATCAACAATGCAATTGCATAATCTTCTCAATACCATCTGCCTCACATGCATGAGTTTCCCTTTAAACAACCCCATCTAATCTCTAATCAAATAGTTAGCATTTAAAATGTGATGGTAGCTCACACATGTGTACATACTATTCTGGTGAAGAGTAAGACAATAAAAGACATAAAGTGGCTGTTGGGTTTGTGAAGGTTTGGCCCCATCGGCCCAGAGAGCTTCTCAGAACCACCGAGTTCAGCCGCAGCATCCAGGGGCCCAGGTGGGGTTGCAGGTAGAGTCTGGAAATGTCTGCCACCAGGCCTGCCTGCCCCCAGAGCCTCCCGTCTTCTCTGGCCTGCCACCACCTCTGTGGCACGAGCCACCACTTCGGGTCAGGAGCCGGGGTCTCAGTCCTGCTGACTCGCAGATCTCCTATACGGGGAGGATGACTTCAAACCTGCTAACACCCAGAACGGCTTTTCCCCTGGGGGCAGAGTAGAGCCCCTTGGGAATGGGAGACAGCTCCGGGCCTCCACCTTCTGGGAAAGGTCCGGAGCTAAGAGCATTGTCAGGAAAAGTGGAGGGTGCTAAGGGAGACCCAGTGTGGGGGCCCCAGCACTAGATGGCTCGTCACCAATCAGCAGATAAAATGGAGGTGAACTCACAGATCCCTGGATGCCCAGCAGCTGCAGAATCTGCTGAGATAAAGGAAAATACGAGGGTGGTTTAATAACAGAAACAGAGTGGGGCACCTGCGGGTGCAGCCTGATAAGCATCTAACTTTGGTTTCGGCTCAGGTCCTGATCTCAGGGTCGTAAGATCGAGCCCCGCATCAGGCTCCATGCTGAGGGTGGAGTCTGCTTGAGATTCTTTCTCCCTCTGCGCCCTCCCAAATTAATTAAGTAATTAAATCTTTAAAAAAAATAATAGAAATGAGGGTAGTTGAGTGGTTCAAAGATCATTGTCTCAATTTAAACTCGACTCAGCAAGCCCGTATAAACAGTTGTTCTTACACCTCTAGGACTGTCCCACCTGCATTTTTACAGCCTGGCCCAAACCTCTGAGACAGTGATTTTGAAAGAATTTGCCTTAGGAACTAAAATACCACCACCAACAAAATAGTTAACGTGTTGTTCATTTACACTGTGTCATATGCTTGACTAAGGGTTCATGTGGGATGTCTTGTTTCATCCTCCCGACAACTTTGTAAGTATTTTTACTTACTTACTTACTTACTTACAGTAAGTAATTACTGATTATTTTCTAGACCTTTAGAGTCACTCAAGTTGAATGGGGTCCTCCCATATCTTAAGCAGCAGGCAACTTTTCCAGAGTGAAAACGGAAATCTGTCCTGGACATGGGGAAGCTTTAAAGTGCAGAGACGCTGCTTACAGGGTTTGTTGGATTTTTCCTGAGAGGCTAACATGCACATACCACTTCGGGTGTGTGTGTGTGTGTGTGTGTGTGTGTATGTGTGTGTAAAATATTCTCTGTGTGCCCTTGCACACATTGGTCAACTGACCACAGCGTAGCTCCCATCAGTGTTGTTCCCAGGCTCAGGTACCACCACATATGTGTGGATGCTCCTGGGAGCATACAGGGTGGTCATTCCAGGCTGCCCCTCATGTTCAAAGGGCAGGTTTGCAGAAGGGAACAGAAACCGGGTATGCTCAGAACACAGCCAAGGACAGCTCATGGTGGGAGTGGAGGGGGGAGATTTGGGGTGAGCGGGCCACCCTCAGCCCTCCAGACCAGTCCCCAGAAGCTGTTCGTGCATCTCATAGCTTCTTGCCGCTCACCTTCCAACCACAGATTTTCCAGGCGAGCCCAGGCATCCTGAGCCCTGCCCCCAACAGCTGCCCCCGTGTGCCCACCTGAGGCTGCGGAGGCGTATTTGCAGCGGGGACACTTCCTCCCACAGCAGTCACGCTGCAGCGTTTCTGAGCTAAAACTCAAGTCAGGGAAGGCAGCTGAGGGGAGAGGAACGGCTTACCTGCTGATGTGGGTACCTCTGTCGGCTTCGGGAAAGATGCTAAGGACAGAGTGAAACACAAAAGAACAGGATACAACATCTTAAGTGTCAAACATATTTAACTCTCAGTTAACTGTTGGTGGGCCCTCCGCCTTGTGGGTTATGTACAGTTTCTGATTCTAGATCGATTCCCTTCCCCGGTCCTCGCTTGGTGGGGGTGCACCTCTCATCGCCCAGCTAGCTGGTGCGTGCCCCGGGAGGACGCAACTGATGCACATTCCAGAAAATCAGAGCATGGTGGTTGATAGATTTTTTTTTAAGCAGATAGATTTTAAAGAAAGTATTCTTTGGGCATCCCTGCTGTTCAGTATAACCTACTTTGGTGCTTCCTTTGAGGATTTGGGGTCATTCCTTTTTTTCTAACTCCCCTGCATATTGTATTTACTCTTAAAGATTCTGCCACAAACAGGCTGCTGACCTAATTCAAAATGTGACAATTATTGAGCCGGTCACAGAATCAGGGAAAGACCAAGTTACATGTTCCCAGCTTCTTCATTCTTTGTAATTGTGTCAGGTAGAAAGTAGTACATACAGAGATGAATCCTTGCAGTGCTTGGAAGGAGCTGGCTGCCTCTAAATAGTGTGCCCCACACGGCGGGCACTGCTCCACCCCCTCCACACAGAAAGAGCACTGAGTCCCAGCATGGCTTTAGGAGGTAAATGCTATTCTCCTCCTCATCATCCTTATCTACAGGAGGAGGCACGAGGCGGTTCAGAGATTTATTCAAGCTCCCACAGTTCCTAACTGATGAAGCCAGGATAACAGATCCAGGGCATTTGGCCCCCAAACCGCTGCCCTACTGCCCAGAGTGACTTTGCCAAGATAAGTTACAGTTACTCAAAAGAGAATAATCGAAATTACCTGAAGTTGGGTAACTCATAGCGGCTGATGGTGTTGAGTAAGGCAGAGAGGCTAGGAGAGACATAAATCAAAAGGTGAACATATGTCATGTCCCTTCATTCTTCTCAAACCCGAGAGGTTGATCTGCTTATTTGAAACAGAAAGGTCCATGTCTTGTTCTAGGGAGAAATTGCACCCAGTCTGGGCATGTGAGAATGGCCCTGAGTTGCCGTGATTACAACCACTAGGTGTCCTGGGTCACTGGGTTCATTTTTGTCCAGCTGCTGGACATTGGCAGTGTCTCCCCCCGGCCCCAAACTGGCCACCGTGATGGTTGCCTTATGTAGAGTGCTTATCTTTCCAGTTGGTTTGGTTTTGTAATTCTTCCTGGGTGTGTGGATCTTGCCTCCCAGAGCAAGTGTCAGTTTGCAAAGTGCAGAACTATGTTTGTGTCAAGGACACACACCGGCAGCGTCAGCGCCTGGAGGGAGCCCAAGGGCCAGGGTGAAGGTGAACTCGGTCCCCATCGCCTCCCACCCACCTCGCGTGGCTCTGTCCAGCGTTCTGGTTCCACACCTCCCTGCTCCTTCGGCCCCCAGCCACGTCCTCAGATGTCCTATTCAGCAGGTGGCTTCCACTCCTGCTTTGCTTCAACACTGACTCTGCCCCTTGACTTCTCTCTTATCCTCTCAGAAGCTCCTAGTACCCCCACCCCTGCTTGCTCTTCCAACCTCTGGTCATTGTTTGGCCAGGCCTAGCTGATAAACAACTTTGCCTCTTCCCAGCCAAACCCAGGAGGATGCAGAGAGAAATGGGGGCTTTTGAATTCATTTGCAGAAACTCAACTGGGATAAAACTGAGGAATAACAGCCCTGGGCTGGGGCCTGGGTTCCCAGCTCTGTGACTTTAAGAGCCATCTCTGTGTCACCTGGGCAACAAGGGGGATGAACCAAAGAGATGTTTCCCAGAGGCATGGCTCATCGCTGGTAGGACGCGAGATAATTTGAGATGGTGCATCTTCTATTTTAAGAGTTACATATTTATAAAGCATTACAATTTAAAATTTTAAATTGAGTTCCATTCTGATTAAGGACATTTTCAGATATGCATGGGCATGAGTTGTTCAGATTAGACAGTTCATTGTTTAATTTTTTAACGTTTTAACATTGCTTTATTGCCACTGTGTCTGGTGGTATGTATTGTCTATTTTTGGTCAGTGATCCTGGCTGTCCGTGTATGGTGGGGATATAGAACTTCCTTGTAAAATGATTTCATGAAAATGAAAGAAGAAGAGTCCACGTAAAAGAAAGTATTGGGGAAAGCGGAGTGTGGGTGGTAGGTGGGAGGAAACCCTGCAGGAGCATCCGAGTGTCTGAAGCTGGGGAAACGGTGACATTAGGGTCCCCCCTGCTCTGAGTACAGCTGGGAACGCCATTTCGCCCACCCGCTTGGGTCGGAATGAGACCCACCTGAGCAGATGGCGCCGGCATCTTCGTGGTGGCCGCAGTTGTGGGAGAACCAGCCACCATGCAGGCATTTCCACAGCCTGGCCTCTGTCCCCACACACTCCACGTCGTCCAGGGCAATGGGGCCCAGGCCTCGGCGGAAACGTGCCCTGCCGGGGGCCGACACCGCCCTGCCACACGACAGCTGCCCGCACACCACCTGGGCGTCACGCAGGTCCCAGCTGTCATCACACACTGTCCCCCAGGTGCCGTTGTAGCGCAGCTCCACGCGGCCCTCACACCGGTGGCCGCCGCCGGCCAGCCTGAGGGCCACATCTGGGGAAGGCAGACACGCCCGGGTCACGCTCTGGGCGCTGCCCCTTTGCCCCTGCCTTCGAGGAAGGGCCTGGGCCTCTCCTGGGAGTTGACCAGCTTTCGAGGGCTCTCCTCCCACGTGCGGAGAGAGCCACTGAGGGAGGGCTAGAGTGGGCCGTAAAGGGTACTTTGGGTTCCATCTCTTACATCTGTGTGATTTTCTGAGGGGCCTTTTAAAAAGCTTTTCCCCAGACAGGATTGTCTACTTGGCAGAGGCAAAAGGAGGCCCCGGAAAGCCCAGCGTGGGGTGGGCAGCACCAGGCATGCTGACTGGTTGTGGCCGCTCTTGGTGGGCAACATCTTGAAGCAAGTGCAAAGAGACTACACGCGCGTGTTGAATGAAACAGGCTCAGAGGCAGCACCAGGCGAGACCCTTCCTTGGCGCCGTGTGATGAGCTTTGATACCGGAAGATGTGCGTGTTGCTCCGTGGCCCACAAGTGGGTGTTCCACCATTTCCCCCAATCAGATCTCGGGGGTAAATGAGGGAGGGGGGGGACCCCTGCCCATCCCTGGTGCCCGGTCAGAGTCGGCCACCCACCCTCACTTTCATCACCAGGCAGGGCCAGGACCAAAACAACCAAAGGACCTACCGGTATTGTTCTCGTCTTGCACAACAGACTCATAGGATGCATAAAAGCCCATGTTGGTGAGGATAGCATCACTGTGGAAGACCACCATCAAGCGATTTGAGGAGGAGGTGAATATTGGGATTGTACCAGAACAGAACCTTCCCAGAGAAAAAGATTCAGTCTGCGGGCCGTCGAAGACTTCAATGAAGTCGTACGGACAGCCGTAGAAGTTTTCCAACCTGTGAAGTAACGTTATCACTCAGACTCCGTCTGCTGGGACTTTTCCTTCACCAAGCACTGCACAGATGGGTTCAGGAAGGGAGGGTTCTGGAAGAGCCACCTGAAACCCACGTCTTTTCACACAGATTGGAGGGAAATATGACCCTGCTGACAGGCAGTATGTAACTTCCTGTTTATAAAAACCTTCCAGGGGCGCCTGGGTGGCTCAGATGGTTAAGTGTCTGCCTTCGGCCCAGGTCATGATCCCAGGGTCCTGGGATCGAGCCCCACATCGGGCTCCTGGCTCAGCAGGGAGCCTGCTTCTCCCTCTCCCTCTGCCTCTCTCCCTGCTCATGCTCTCTCTCTCTGTCTCAAATGAATAAATAAAAAACAAATAAAAAAAAAATAAAAACCTTCCAATTTGTAAAGTTTCCATGTAATTGCATTTCCTGGACATGCATTATAAGCACAGAGAACAGAATTTAAGTGGTATGGACAGGTATTTGGTGAAAAGTAAAATTTTCTCCCACCCCTGACTAGTCCCTCTGGCTTCATTCTACTTCTTGGAAGCAGCTACTATGAACAGTTTCCTTTTGTTTCCTTCCAGGCATCTGGCACAGATGTCAGCTGCTGCCCTGTTGTCCAAGGCTTTCCTGTAGACCATTCCATGGCCATACCCCTGGGTGTGTGATGGATCCCCTACTGATGGGCAATTAGACTGTTTCCAATCTAGTGCTCCTACAAGAAGGCTGCCATGATTATCCTCAGTGCATGAGACTTTGTCAGTAGACTCATCTTCTGGAACTAGAATTGCTGCATTAAAAGACTTGTGCCTTTAAAATTTTGATCAGTGTTACCCAACGGGCCTCCAAGGCCTTCCTCACTTTGGAGAGTTAACTATGGAAGGTGGCTTTTATTTATTTGTTTGTTTGTTTGTTTATTGGTGGGGGTATGGGCGGTGGGCAGGATAACTGTGTTTATAAAACTGAGCAAAGTGGGAGATAGTTACTCACTTCACCACTTCAAATGTGAGCTTGACACGAGCCCTGGCGTCCACGTGTATGTCCCAGGCGCACACCACATTTACAGGGTATTTTTTAGGATACCAAGGGCTGGAGAAGGAGCCCGAATTATTTGTGAGCAAACCGCCACAGGGGAAGTTTTCATCTGCAAGAAAGGGCAAAGAAACCCCATCAGAAGGAGGCGCTGACCCGTGCTGGTGTTTTCTGAGGGGTCAGAGGGCTTGGGGAGCAGGAATGAGGGGAGTTCTCTCCAGGGCTGCTTTGCCTGATAACAAAAAAGTTGGCTTTGGGGACCCGAGTTTTTGACGCTGTTCTCTGTCAGATAAGAGCATTACACCTGTCCTGTCGAGCTTACAGGGCTTCGTGAGGAGAAATGACCATGCCATACGGTTGACAGGGCTTTCTGGACCCAGATGCATAGACAGGACTGAGCACGTGTTTTCATGGAAAGACACAAGGACAAGGCAAGCCTAAGCGTCCTTTCTCAGGACACGTCACCGGCCGGTTGTGTGGGCAGATCCCTCGTATTACATACAAATCCCAGCTGAAGTCAGCACCAACGTCCCGTAAAGCATCCGTTTTATGGCTGAAATATTGGATTTGGTGTGGAATTTAAGTTAAAGTCTCCTCTGTGCTGCAGCTTCTTATGTGTAAGTGGAAGAGAGCATCATCTAGCTGCTGGAAGTGCTAACACTGCAGATAAGGCGGATCTAAAACCACACGAAGGGTTTAAGTAAAGCTGACACACCCGTAGTGGGGCTGTCACCCGCGGAGTCTGTGAAAATACGCAGAGGAAAAAATGATACTGTGAGCAAGGACTTTTATCCACATACTCTTCTAAAACACTCAAAACTATTGACACTCAAAGCTGTGACTTCTCTGGACAGAGATGACTGGCCCTTTAAGAGTTGGGACGCCCGCCCACTCTAAAGATTGGCAGCCTACGTCAGGGCCCACTGGGTGCGGGGGCACAGTCTGCTTTTCAGCCTCATGATAGTGTGCGGCTAGGAGTGCTTTGATAGAGCTTGTTGAGGGCTGACCTGCGGTTCCCATTTCCTTGCTTTCCACGGCATCCGGGGCATGACCATCCCTGCAAGCAGCTAGCCCTCTATCACGGCAGGTGCCAACTCACGGCATCCCTGGGGCCCAGACACGACATCGCTGGCGAACCTGAATGCTACCCGCCCTCTCCCCGCCCTCCGCAGACCCCCAGCCCCACCAATATGTCAGCACTAGTGGGCTGTGTCGCTCTGGTTCCTTAGCAACAGAAGGTTTATGCTGTCAACTGGGCCCCGGTTACAGGATTAACGAGTAGCCAGGACCACAGATAATCACTCGGAGGCCTGGCCGCCGCTGAGACGCACCGAAGAGCAACAGTACCTGTTGGTCCTGCTTTCGGACTGCCATTGACACCTACTCAAAGACCAAAAGAAAGAATGAGTAAGACAGTCATGTGATTCACAAAAGAAAATCAGGTCTTTTTTTTTTTTTTAAGGAGCAAACATATTTTTTGTGGGCAGTTGGAAGCGTAATGGCAAAACCTATCAGTGCTGGTTAAAGATTGGCAGCCTACGTCAGGGCCCACTGGGTGCGGGGGCACAATCTGCTTTTCAGCTTCATGATATTTCATCTAATTGCTGGAAATAGTAAAATTGAAAGCAAATAAAAAATATGGTATTTATTTACTTTTGCTCAGTTATGGGCCTGGAGGAGCTTCAGTAACTGAGCCAAGCTCAGTCCTTTCACACAGTATCTTGGAGGTGATGCCGAGCAGAGTATGGGCCAGTGTGTGATCTTGGATATGCTTTTGTTGCGTTATCAATAAGATGAGGACGTCACAGTTTCTTTTTATTAGAGACTGTGAAGGTCAAATGAGAGTGTGAATGCACCGGTTTCCGCATGGAGCCTGGCACATGCTAAGCCCTCTTGGGACACGAGCTACTACTCCTACTCGGGGGAGAGCGGACCGTCACCAACACCGCGGCATGTCTATCCAGGAATGGGGTGTCTGATCATACAAACCCTCCATCTAATAATCACAACTTTTAAGCGGGTTGGGGGGGGGGACCTTGAACATTTTACAGACACACTCATTTAAGAAAAGGAAAAGCAACTCTTAAACAAACGGACTTAAAAAGATGGCTTGAAGCCCTGGATTCCTTTCTGAGTAATTACCTGCTGGCATTGACCTCTCCCTTCCCAGAGGCTGCTGATAGGCAAGACTCTCTACGAGGGGTGCCGCGCCCTGTGGGGGCTCACCTGAGCAGATGGCACCGGCATCCTCGTGGTGCCCGCAGTTGTGGGAGAACCACCCATCGTGCACGCATTGCCACACCTTGGCTTCGTTCCCTGTGCACCGAACATCATCCAGCATGATGTGGCCAGTGCCTCCAGCAAAGTGGCTCTGAGCTGGGGCTGACAAGGCCTCGCCACAGCCGAGCTGCAGGCACACCACCCTGGCGTCTGTCATGTCCCAGCTGTCATCACACACAGTGCCCCAGGTGCCGTTGTAGAAGACCTCCACCCGGCCCTCACACCTGTGACTGCCGTTCACCAGTCTCAGCGATGCACCTGCGGGACAGGAAGACAGAGGCTTCTGAGCCGTGGCGCTGTCTCCAAAACTCTAGGACCTTCTGCAGTTACAGAATGCCCAGCACCCGGGCACATTTTTTCCACGTTAGGCTATCGGACTCTAGGTAGGGTGGCCTTATGTCCTGATTTGCTTAGGATAATACTGATTTACAACTGTTGTAGATCAAGTAATGCCTCTTGATTATTTTAGAGTCCCTTTTAAGCCCTCAAAGGTATCCTGATTAGAGAATAAATTGCGTGGTCACCCAAGCATACTCCACTGAGAGCTCTAGAATGTTCCCCATGCCTGCTGCAGAATATAAGAGGTCTGTTCTGGATGGTTTTTGTATGGAATTCAGCTGGAGTCAGGTGGGATGGTAGTTGTAGTTGGAGGTAGGTTTGTTGCAGAAGGATTTGCCCTACTGCATCTTCCCTTCCTTTGGAAAAGGGAGACCCTCATTCAGGTCCTCCATCTACACACACAGTCAATGCAAGGTATGTGATTCAGCCATCTGTTTCTTTAGCCAGGATGTTCTGATGGTAGAAAATGACAGCAAGTGGCAGAGCAGGGTGAGGGGTCAGCTGGGGGCTGTTACTGTCAGAGTGGACATCACTCAGGATGTCTAAATTAATGATGGTGGACTCTGTGGGTCAGATTTAGAAAGCATCTCCTCTCATAAAGGGAAAGGACACAAATTAGATCTAACTTCCCTCCAAGGTACATATCAGGATACCCACCATTCTCCCTTCCCTCTTGCTGAATGGCATTGTACAGAGCATAAAACCCTGTGTTGGTGATCATGGCATCACTTCTGAACACCACAGTCATGATGTTTGAAGAGGAGAGGAACGTGAGCTCTGTCCCAGCACAAAATCTGCCCATGGAGAGTGAGGCAACTAGCCGTCCATCGAACACTTCAATAAAGTCATAAGGGCACCCATAGATGTCCTCTAACCTGAGGAGGTAAAGGCACAGTAAATCTCCCCAAGGAAATCTGCAGAAATGCCTTAAATAAAATCATCATTTGCATCGAATCCAGCCAGAAACTGCAATCATCGCTGTTGCCTCCTTCCAGTCACGCGTCCTGCTCGTGACCCCTTGACCCCTTACATGTTGCCTGAATTTGCCCTTCTGTGCTTCCCTCCGGGCACTGGCCCCGGTGAGTCAGCCTTTCTCTGTGTCTCACCGGCTCTAATTCAGCGGTCCCCTTCTGGTCTCTTGGCTTTTGGTCTTTCCCACCATCTTCCTCTCCACCCTGAGTGTATCTAGAATGTCCCCTGACTCTTCATTCAAACTCTGCTACTCCCTGGGGTGGGGGCAAGCATCCATTAGGGTCTCATTGAGTAAAACACTCAATGGGATCTGGAGCAGGGAGAAATGGTGCCTTCTGTCAAAACTCCCAGGGCTTGCTGAGTAGGACTCTTCCTTCCCATGCCCCAAACTGCCTGGTTCCAACCTGGATGATCAGAGAAGCTGTCCCTGACCATCCTACCAAACGCTGTCCTCACCCACTCCGTTCTCTATCCTATTACCATATGTGTATAAATATTTTTCTTCATAGCACATATCAACTTATCACTAATGAAAAATATCCATTGAGTTACTGGTTTATTCAAGTACTATTTGCCTCTCCATCTAGAATGTAAACTCCATGAGGACAGAGATCTCTCTGTCTTGTTTGGCACCAGAAGTCCATTCCTAGACCAGGGCCTGCACAGAAAGTGGGCTCAATAAATATACTTCAAAGAATATCAACATTACTGGGGCTGTGGGAATGCAAGCTGATGCAGCCACTCTGGAAAACAGTATGGAGGTTCCTCAAAAAGTTTAAAATAGAGCTACCCTACTTCCCAGCAATTGCACTACTGGGTATTTACCCCAAAGATACAAATGTAGTGATCCGAAGGGACACATGCACCCCAATGTTTATAGCAGCAATGTCCACAATAGCCAAACTATGGAAAGGGCCTAGATGTCCATCAACAGATGAAATGGATAAAGAAGAGGTGGTATATATATACAATGGACTATTATGCAGCCATCAAAAAATGAAATCTTGTCATTTGCAACGACATGGATGGAACTAGAGGGTATTATGCTAAGCGAAATAAGTCAATCAAAGAAAGATAAGTATCATATGATCTCACTGATATGAGGATTTTTGAGAAACAAGATAGAGGATCATAGGTGAAGGGAGGGAAAAATGAAACAAGACGAAACCAGAGAGGGAGACAAACCATAAGAGACTCTTAATCTCAGGAAACAAACTGAAGGTTGCTGGAGTGGAGGGGGGTGGAAGGG